CCCTCAGGGAGGAGAGGGAGGCCCTCGTGGAGGAGAGGGAGGCCCTCGTGGAGGAGATGGAGGCCCTCGTGGAGGAGAGGGAGGCCCTCGTGGAGGAGAGGGAGGCCCTCAGGGAGGAGAGGGAGGCCCTCAGGGAGGAGAGGGAGGCCATCGTGGAGGAGAGGGAGGCCCTCGTGGAGGAGATGGAGGCCCTCGTGGAGGAGTCAGAGGCCCTTGTGGAAGAGATATAGGCCCTCAGGGAGGAGACGGAAGCCCTCATGGAGGCGCTCATGGAGGACGGAGGCCCTCATGGAGGAGATGGGAGGCCACAGGGAGATGGAGGGGAGGCCCTGATTCGAATGTCCTACAAGGCTCCCCTCAAAGGACAGAATGTCTTATGTGCCCCGCTGCCATCCTCCCCCTTCATACTGTGCTCACAGAGGGTCCAGCTCAGGGCTCCCTAACTGCACTGCCCCCACCCCCTAAACCCTGCCTGCATCTCCCCATCCTTGGCCCATCATCCCAAAGACGTGTGCCCGAGGATACCTCACTCCCAACGAGTCTCCACCTTTGCAATGCCCCAAAGCCTTGAGCACACCCAACATGTAGGGGTTTGAAGAAAGCAAAGCCCCCTGTCCTGGGGAGAGGAATCTGCCATGTATGTGAAATAAACCCTGGAGGGAGCGGGCCCAAGGATGGAGTCCAACAGAGTGGGTGCAAACTGCCCCGAAGCACCCGCTGGGGATGATCTAAAGCACTGTCTACAGTTGTGGAAACCCGGACACCAGCTCAGTGGGCAACCCTGTAGTGTATTCACGGCGGAGGATCTTTGCTGTTACAAACAGCGCCAAGAAACAGGCATGGGCATTGCCCAATAGGGGGAAATGATTACACACCACAGATGCAGCAAAATAGCACTTAACCACAGAACAAATAGAGACACACAAACCAAGATGTCATGGCTGGCTTCGCACGGGTCACCCAGCTGCCCACAGGCTCCATGAGGAAACAACTAGCAAGAGCACAGAAGGGCACGGGGCCACCTTACCTGAGGATACGGGACACCTCCTCCGACGTCCGCGGCCTCAGCAGTACCTTGCTACAGCCTGTGACAGGAAGGAGACCCCGTGAGACAATGTGGGGGGAAGCTGCAGATAAGGCTAGTGAGCCCTCACCCGAGAGTGAGCGTTTTTTTTTTTTGCGGGGGGAGACAGAGTCTCGCTGTGATGCCCAGGCAGGAGTGCAGTGGTACAATCTTGGCTCACTGCGACCTCTGCCTCCTGGGTTCAAGCAATTCTACTGCTTCAGCCTCCCAAGTAGCTGGGATTACAGGTGTACACCACCACACCTGGTTAATTTCGTATTTTGAGTACAGACAGGGTTTCACCACATTGGCCAGGCTGGTCTCGAGCTCCTAACCTCAGGTGATCCACCTGCCTTGGCCTCCCAAAGTGCTGGGATTACAGGTGTGAGCCACCATGCCCAGCCCCAAGAGAGTGATCTTATTTGGGAAGCTGAGGTGGGAGAATCACCCGAGCCCAGGAGGTCAAGGCTGCAGGGAGCTATGATCGCAATACGGCATTCCAGCCTGGGCCACAGAGCAAGACCTTTGTCTCAGAAAGACCAAAACTAGGTCCCGCATGGGACATGGCGGGCGGGCACCAGGCACAGTGCGTGGAGGTGGGTGAGGCTGGGCCCCGTGGACAAGCATCCCACAGGCCAGGCACTGGCGGCTCCGAGGCTGCCCAACCCCTTGTGGCAAGCACTTAGTCCGTGGTAAGGGGGTGTCTGTGGCAGGCTCCCCTGCTGCCACGTCCCCACACTTCCTTTCGGAGGCATTCACACTGCACAAGCAGACGCTTGAGACCACATGCACATCATGTTTCTCCTCAAGCCCCACGTATTTATTTTAGCATCTTTGATGATCTTAGACTGAATCAGTTACTAGGACGGTTGCCGACTGATTTTCCTAAATCCATCCATCCACCTACATTTCCTTTTTCTTTTGAGACACAGTCTCACTCTGTCACCCAGGCTGGAGTACAGTGACACAATCACAGCTCACTGCAGCCTCAACCTCCAGGGCTCAAGCGATCCTCCCACCTCAGCCTCCTAAGCAGCTAGGATTCCTGGCTAATTTTGGTATTTTTAGTAAAAACGGTTTCGTCATGTTGCCCAGGCTAGTCTTGAACTCATGGTCTCAAGCAGTCCACCGCCTCAGCCTCCCCAAGGGCTGGGGTTGCAGGCATGAGCCACTGCGTCTGGCTTCTTAGCTGCCCCTGCCACAAAAAAGGGCTTTCCCCTCACTCCTACTGACATGTTTATGTAGCTGCTGATTCACAGTGGTGTGGGCTTGCGATTTCTCATTTTCTCCACTGGGCTGTAACCCTGGGCTGCCTTATTTACTGAACGCACGGATGTGAGTGGTGGGAGCCTTCTAAGTTAACTGCCTGCGGTTGCTAACCACTGCTGCCCCAAGTGAGCGGGCGTTTCTGCGTTTGGGTTTCCTTGAGATGACTTTCCCAGGTAACAGGGGCTGCAGAGAAGCAGAGGTGCACTCACAGGTGCCTGTCCCCACTCTCTCAGGAGCTCTGAGAACCAGGCTGTGGCGTCCACCTTACTTTTCTGATCAGAAAGCCACTTATTTCTCTTTCATCAAATGAGCAATTTTTGTGGAAGAGCCTGCTGGCGCCCAGGCTTGCCTGATGCTTCAGCGCAGCACCCGAGGGAACTCTGGCACCTGTGCTCACTTCATCCCTTTCCCTACGAGGGCTCGGGAGCCTCAGGACTTGTGGCAAAGCTTTCAACTCAGGCACATTGTGAGGCGCCTGTGGCAGGGTTCTCAACACACGTGAGTGCACCCCTCCCTCCTCCCCACAATGAAGGCCAGGCCGCGTCCCTGACACAGAATGAGGAGAGGATTTCCCACTCCTCTGATGTTTACCCCCCTAAAAGAGAAAAAGGGGGGCTCCCTCCTGGTGGCCCCGTGTTAACAATGGGAGTCTCACAGAGGGAGGGGCCGATGGGGCAGAGCCGGTGACGCAGGAAACACCCGGATCTGAAGTCAGTGCGTCCAGGGGAAGGGGCTGGCAGCACACTGGTGACCATCCCTCCTATCCCCACACACGGGGCACCCTCGGCCTGCACCCACAGTAAGCGGAGCACCCCACAGTGTGTGACAATCAAAAACTACCCCAGAACCACACCCCCCAGGGAGCCACAGGAGACCCCTCCACCTACTCAGCTCCAAAACATGCTGGGAATTCCCGGAGCAGCTGTCTTCCAACTGTCTCATGGCTTCTGTGCCTTCCCACTCAAGCCTGTTTCATTGGTCTTTGCATTCCTGCAGTTTTCTGGGGGCCGCTGACCCCTCTCCCTCATGGGGACACCACTGACCTGGGATGTGGAAAACACTTGCCCTGCCCCACAGCCTTCTCCAGGTCCCACGAGACAGCCCCACCACTCCCACCCCTTCAGGGGTCCCAGCCCTGGCCTCTGTCTATCAGCTCCTTTCCCTAGCTCCCCCTGGTACTACGTACTTACAAGAGGATCAGCAAACAACAGCCCACAGCAAAATCTGTGTGCCACCTCCCATGGTAAACAGAGCTGGGCAGAGGCACAGCCGTGCCCTTTTGTCTGCGCTTGTCTAGGGCTGCCAACCCACTGCAGTCCGGGATGCCTGCGACTCCACCCACCCACAGCAGCAGCTGGCTCCCTACGCAGGGCCAGCCCCACCCTCAGGAGCCCCCATGTCAAGCATCAAGCCCCCCACACCAGGCGATTCTCCAGCCTGAGTGACAGGGATACACTCCGTCTCCAAGTAATAAAAGAGAAAACTGGGCACTGTTACCAAAAGGAAGTGCCAGCCCCGGAGGCTGAGAGTTCCCTCACTCGTGCACAGACTTGTATGCCAGTACACAGGGGTGCAATGGGAGGAGAGGAGCAGGCATGGCCAGCCAGAAGCCCTACATCTTACCTAGTGGGCTCCATAAAGATATGTCGGCTTCCCAACCCCATGACCTGTGAACGGGACCTTATTTGAAAAAAACGGTCCGGCTGGCGAGGTGGCTCACGCCTGTAATCCCAACACTTTGGGAGGCCAAGGTGGGTGGATCGCCTGAGGTCAGGAGTTCGAGACCAGCGTGGCCAACATGGTGAAACCCCCGTCTACTAAGATTAGCCAGGCATGGCGGTGGGCGCCTGTAATCCCAGTTACTTGGGAGGAGGAGAATCACTTGAACCCGGGAGCGAGAGGTTGCAGTGAGCTGAGATCACGCCACTGCACTCCAGCCTGGGCAACAAAAGAAAACCTGTCTCAAAAAGAAAAAAGGAAAAACGGATGTAATTACGTTGTCGGCACTGAGATGAGGTCATCCTGGATTTGAGTGGCTCATCCAATGACAAGTGCCTTTATAACACAACTGAAGGGGAGGAGGAGCCCGTATGAAAACCAAGGCAGAGGCTGGGGCCACCAGGAGCTGGACAGGAAGGAACCTACCTCCTCTGGAGGCTTTGGAGGAAGCGCAGCCTGTGACACCTTGATTTCACGCTTTTCGCCTCCAGAGCTGAGAGAAGACACTTCTGGGGTTGTGGGGGCGGTGGGGGGGGCGGCTGTTTTGTTTTAGAGACGGAGTCTTGCTCTGTTGCCCAGGCAGGAATGCAGTGGAGAGATCAGTCCACTGCAAACTTGAACTCCTGGGCTGGAGTAACTTTTTTACTGTTTTTTTAGTCCTGGGCGGGCTCGTCTTACTTTATTTTTAGAGACGGTGGAGGTGAGAGGGGCCTGAATATGTTGCCCAGGCTTGTCTCCAGCTCCTGGCTTCAACCTCCGGGGCTGCTACAGGCAGAGCCACTGCACCCGGAAATTTGGGTTGTTCCAAGAGCCTCGTTTGTGGTCATTTATTCCAGCAGCCTGTAGGTACACACGCCCCTCTCAGCGCCCCCACCCAGCGTGTTCTCAGCCCACTCTGAAGCCTCCACGGGAAGGCGCAGGAGCAGGGGCGCGGCCGCGCCGCGGCTCCCGAGCCTCACCCACCTCGCAGCGTCCGCAGCCAGTCTACGTTGGGGGCCTGCAGCGCCTCCGGGTCCGTGACGACCCCGCCGGGCACGATGCGCTCAAAGGCGGCCAGGTCTTGCTCAGACACGGTGGAGAACGGCAGGCGCCGCACGGGGTAGCGCTCCTGGGTCAGCTGCACCTCCGGGGTCCCGGGGGCGGTGCAGCAGCCCCTGCGGGCCCGGGGACCAACCCGCCTACCCCAAGCACCCGCGGCTCCGGGGGCGCAGGCCCCGCGCGGTCCCGGGGGACCCCGGAAAGCCCACGCGAGCCACGCGAGCGGCCGCCGGGGCAGCATCGCCGCCGGGACGAAGGCCTCGGGATTCTTCCGGGCGAGGGTCCGGCGGGGAAGGGCCGGGAGCCGCTGGCTGCGCGCCTGGAAGTGGCCAAGGGAATTTCATGTTTGCTGCACGTTTTCCACAAGCCGGAAAACGCTTGCAGCAGCAGAGGGAAGGGCCGGGCGGCAGCGCGGGGAAAGCTCCGAGCACCCGAGCCCGCCAGCGGCCCGGCCCACGACCGCGCGAGCCGCGAACGCCCCGCCGCCCGCCCGGACTCAGCGACGCGCAGGCTCGGGACGGCCTCGCCGGGACTCCGCCCAGGACCCCGCGGACGCGCGCACGTCCCGCGCGGTCACGTGACTAGCTCGCCACCGCCGCCCCCCCCCCGCCACCCCGGCAAGACCCTGCCTGGCGGGCGGCGCCGGAGCTCGCGCCCCGCGCACCCAACCCGCAGTGGAGCCGCAGCCTGGGACCGTCAGACTCAGCGTCCCGGACGGCCGCGCGCACGCACCCGCGACCGCGTCCCCGGCAGCAACCCGCAGCGCCCGCCGCAGGCCCCTAGCCGCAGAGCCGGAGTGGACGGGGCGACGCCGCGCTTTCGCACTGACGGCCTCGCCACTCTGTCCAAGCCCCGCCCTGTGCGTCTAGCAGGCCCCGCCCGCCGTCCAGCCCCGCCCCGTGCGCC